AAAAAAAAAAAAAAAAGAAAAGCATGTACATTCCCACTCCTGCATTGTTTCTTCCATCATTGCCTTTGTTTGACATATTCCCTGTATTTTCCCCTATGACTAAATAATAGATCTAAGTGTTCCATTTCTAGAAACTTTCTTTGGTTCATTGTGTCTGTGATGATCTTGTCCTTTCTGCAGATTTACATATCATTTGTTATCCAAGTTACTCTTTTTATGATGTTATGCTTATCACCTTTTGTGTTCTCTGGAACTTAATTCTATGTTTTTAATCATGTTATATCTAATTTTTATACTGTAGATGCTGATGAACTTTCTGCATTTGCTAATTCCAAAATGGCTTATGAGAATATGCCCAAGATGCACACTATTTACAGCTCAGACTCTCCATCAAGTCATAGTCCTAAAGAAAAGGATCGAGGAAATTTGAGTTTATTGGATCATTTTCTGAAAGTCTTTGCATATTGCAGGAGAGCAATGGTAATGCAGTCCTTCTGATTTGCTAATGTAGTGGACATAAATCTCAGCCCATCAACTTGAGTGTGTATGATATATTGCATGTATTTATTTACTATACATATTTTTAGTTTTGACTTTAAGACTTCATCTTGCTAGATTTAGCCTCAGTCACTTGTGAGGTGTGCCTGCCATGATACTGAGGCATGCATTGTTAAGTTGTCAGGGAGAGAGGGTGAACACCTTTAATCATCTATCGTCCATCCTTCACCCACCAAGAGCCTAAGGGATCTTTGTCCCTGTCTGCGCAGTTCTGTGACTGTCCATGCACCTTTCTACAGGGATGGAGTTCTCTTGGGATGCCAGAGATTCCTCTCTAGGGTCTTGATCTCTCTTGGGGATACCACAAAGCTCTCGCTTTCCTCTAGTGCAGGCTACAGGAAATCCTGGCTTCAGCCCAAGCTCCTGCTTCTTCCTGCCATTTGTGTCTCTTCTTAAATGCTTTTTTCTTCTTTTATTCTTTTAAAATACTGCATAATAGATTATTAAGACCTAGATTGCAATCATTATCTATAAAGATATCAATTTCTTTTTTTCTCATAGGAGGAAGGGCACATATATCAAATGTCTCAAGAGTTGAAGGGAAATCTATTCTTTCTAGATAAGAAAGGAAGACTTAGCATTTCCATATTCTCCAGGGAGTGGATAGAATGATTTTACAAAGTATAAAGTAAACCCAGGTCACCCCCTCTGATCATGAGCATCAAACTGCGTGTGCCCTCCTTGCTGCCCACTTCTGGGTCTGGGGAAGCTGGCCCTGCACATCTCATGGGACTCTGCTCCTCCAGCCCCTGCCACTCCTGCCTCTGCAGTCCTGAAAGCACTAAGACTGTTCCCTTTGAAGCCCTCCATTTCACCTTCACTCCTTTGCACTAGCTGTTCCCTAAGGCTCAAATGCTCTTTTCCACCCAGTACCCTGACTGCCACCTTCATGTGACTTGTTCAACTCAACATTAAGGTCTCTGCTTGAATGTCCCTTCCTCAGAAAAGACTTCTTTCCCAACATGTCCTTCAGGTTCCAATCCATTTCAGCTTTAGTTTTCTTTATAAAATTTACTGTTCCATGAAATTATATTTTTATTTGTCTACCTTTTTAGCATTGACCTCCTCAAATAAACTAAAGTAGCATGTGAGGGCACACTCAATTTTCCGTGCTCACTGCTGCATCCTTAGCACCTACAACAATGGGATTTTAGGATTGAGACCACTGGTGTGTAAATCTGAGCTGATCACTTAGTACATTCATGACCTTGGGCAAGTTAGCCCCATGTCTTCATTTCCTCATCTATAAATTGGGTAGAATACTAGTGCACACTTATTTTGTAGTTGTTAGAATTAAATGAGATAATGCAAATAAATGTCTTAACACAGTGTCTAGCATATATAAGTGGTTAGTTATTTTTTATTACCAATACATACTATTTTCAGAATGATCAAATTGTTAAGATATCTGTAACTTTCAGAACTTAGAGGTTTTTTTTTAATGTGTTTGTATTAGGTTCTTGCTCACCGTGGCGGTTATTGGACTTTGCTTCAGAACTGCTGCCGGGTCTTTTGGAACTTTACTCAGGAGCTACAAATACTTCTCAAACAAACAGTGGATATTTACAAAACATCTCTTATTAATCAGGAGAGTTTTCTCTGTGTCTCTGTCATACCATTCTATTTGGGGGCAGAATTCCTTATTGACATGTTAATAAATCTGCAGTGTACCAAGTCTGTTAAGGTAAGGACATTTCGGTGATTATTTTTATGGTATTCAATTTAAAAATATCTTTGTATTGTGCAGTTTGGGATAAGTAGGAATTGGTATTTTTCTTGAGTTCTATTTTGTTTGTCTATATTTCATTTGTTTCTCATTATTATTTTCTTCATAATGTATTACTTGCATTGTTATTAATTAAAAATATCTTGCCCTGAAAATTTATTTTGTTAAAGGGAAGGGAAAGTACCATTTACTGAGCTCTATCTCCTACATAAATTATCCTTAAACAATCTTTTTTGGCAGATAAATAAATAGATCCTGAGCGATTATATAGCTTTCCAGTTGATCTTTATTCCATTGCTTTATCTGTCTATCCCTGTTCTACTTCTTCATGTCTGCTAGAATTTACAGCCTTTTCCAGAGGAAAATATTTAACATTTCTAGAGGAAAATATTTAACAACAATAGCACAAAAGACAGAAAGGGCAAATAAAATTAAACTACCATAAATTTGTTACACTTTATACAAAGTGGTACAATGTTAATTCTTAAGTGGAATGTGATAAGTTAAGGATACATTTAATAACTTCTAGGGTAACTACCAAAAGAGAAATATAGCTTAAAAGCTAACAAAATGAAGTAGTTAACTACAAAGAAGGTAGGAAAGAAGGAACAAAGGAACAAAAAAATATGGGACAAATAGAAATATTAAATCTCACTCAATCATATCAATGACCATATTAAATAGAAGTGGGCTAACCACTCCAATTAAAAGGCAGAGATTGTCTGACTGGATTAAAAAAAAAGTCTACAAGTGAATTGTAATATAAAGAAGCAGACTGAAAATGAAAATATGAAAAGAGATATACTATGAAAACAGTACTTTAATAAAGCTGTTGAGACTATATTAGATAAAACAGTCTTCAAATCAAGGAGTATTACGAGAGGAAAAGGAGGACATTTCACAATAAGAAGAGGCTCAATTAATCAGGAAGATATACCAATAAACGTGTATGTGCCTAATAACATTTAAATAAAATTTAAACCGCATTCTAAACACCCAAAGCTTGAAGAGATTCCTAGTTGATGACCACAATGTTGTGTCAAGAGTATAACACACCTTGATTCCACTGGGAAGGGCACAGAAGATATATGTTTAGGATCCTCTTAGATTGCACTCCAGGTGCCTTCACCATTTTACTCTTTCTGTGTTGTTTCCTTTATAATAAAACTGTAATTATAAGCATAGTGTTTTCATCAAGTTCTGTTGAGTAATTCTAGTACATCATCAAACCCGATGGTGTTATGGGGAACCTTGAATTTATAGCTGAACAGTCAGGAAAGTGGGTGACCTTGAGACTTGTGTCTGGCATGTGAAGAGAGGGCAGTCTTTTGGAGAATTGAGCCTTTAAACATGTAGAGTCTGAGCTAACTCTGGATCATTAATGTCCAAATTGAAGTGAAGTAAACCCAGGTGGGATGGAAAGCTTGCACAAGGGCAAATGGTGTATTCACCAGGATGGATCACATGCAGAGTCAAAAAATAAGTCTTAACAAAACTTCAGAGACTAAAATTTTAAAGAATATGTATTTTGACCAGTATAGAATTAAATTATAAACCAATTACCACAATATAGGAAGAAAAATCTCTGAATATTTGGAAATTAAACAACAGAATTCTAAATGGCCCATGGGTCAAAGAAGAAAATACAAGAGAGATTAAAAAATATTTAAAGCTGGCTCGGAGCCCATAGCACAGTGGTTATGGTGCCAGCCACACGCACTGAGGCTGGCAGGTTTGAGCCCAGCCCAGCACCAGCTAAGCAACAATGATAACAATAACAACAACAAAAATAGCCAGACATAGTGATAGGTGCCTGTAGTCCCAGCTACTTGGGAGGCTGAGGAAAGAGAATGGCATAAGCCCAAGAGTTTGAGGTTGCTGTGAGCTGTGATGCCACAGCACTCTACTGAGGGTGACATAGTGAGACTGTTTCAAAAAAAAAAAAAAGAAAAAGAAAATATTTAAAGCTAATGATAACATTTCAAAACTTGTGGGCTACAAATAAAGCAGTGCACATAGGGAAATGTATAGCTTTAAATGCTTATTAGAAAAGAAGAAAGATACAACTTCAGTTATCTAAATGCTCACTCATAGGGGTTAGGGAAAGAAAAGCAAATTAAATGGATAGCAAGTAAAAAGAAGGAAGCAAATAAGGAGAAATGAAGGAAATGATAAAAGCGGAAATCAATTAGGTATAAAATAAAAGCAAAATTAATAAAGTCAAAAATTAATATTTAAAAAGATCATTAAAACGAATATACTGATGTACAAGTACAAAAGTGAGAAAAGGACAAATTCCTGATATTCGTAATGAAAGGAATATAATTACAGATTCTATAGATATTAAAAGATAAATAAGGGAATATTATGATCAGTTTTCATTAATGAATTTTACAACTTAAATGAAATGGTTACATTTATTGGAAAACATCACCTAGCAAATCTGACACAATAAGAAATAGAAAGTTTGAATTACCCTAAAAACAGTGTGTCCATAAAGTTCATGTGCAATTTAAAATTTTAAATTATTAACAAAACTATATATTAAAAAAACTGAATTCATAATCAGAAACTTTAACATAAAGAAAATTACAGACCCAGATTATTTCCCTGGGGATTCTAGTAAACATACATGGAATAAATATTAAATCATCTACTTTTTAAAGAAATGAGTCCAGCTGAATTCTGACAGATATCAACCATAAAAGTATAAACCAGTATCTCTCATAAACGTAGATGCAAAACTCCTTTATTTTTCTTTTTTAAAAATTTCAGATGAATATGAAGGTACAGGCGATTAGGTTACGTTGTGTTTGTTAGGTAAAGTCCAAATTGTAGTTGTGTCCTTCATCCAGGAGTTGTGCCATAAATCTTTACATTTTGCCTGTTAGGTGAGAGCACACCAACCCCCTACCCTCCTCTCCTGTCTCTCACACTTGAGTTTAATTGTGTTTTTCTTTTGCGTAGATGTGTATGTTTTCTTCTATTAGTATTGAGTCCACTTGATACTTGCTTTTCAATTCTTGTGATACCTTAGTAAGGAGAATGTGCTATAGCTCGTATTCACACCCACTTAGCCCGACTTTAGGTATGCATATTACATTTCACAGTTAGGTGACTTCCAAGTTCTCTTCTAACATCAAGGACTGTGGATCTTGTTAGAGGGGCTGTTTATCCTCTACTTTTGTTTTGTTTTGTTTTGAGACAGAGTTTTACTATGCCGCCCCTTGGTAGAGTGCAATGGCGTCCCAGCTCACAGCAACCTCAAACTCTTGGGCTTAAGCGACTCTCTTGCCTCAGTCTCCCAAGTAGCTGGGACTACAGGCACCCGCCACAATGCCCAGTTATTTTTTTTATGTCGTGGTCATTGTTGTTTGGCAGGCCTGGGCTGGATTCAAACCCACCAGCTCTGGTGTATTGGCTGGCGCCCTAGCTGCTGAGTTACAGGTGCTGAGCCTCTGCTTTTATTTATACCTTCCTTTCCAAATATATATATGGGATAGAGCTAGACAGGACTTGAATTACTCAATGGTTTGGGGTGATAGCCTGGCCCTTAAATGAATCTAAGGGGCTTTGCTTGGCCCTTAAGGTTTTCAAGAGGTATACAGAAATATATCAGGGACTCATGGGAACTGAACACAGTAATTACATAGTAACTCTTTAGGTGAAAAGAGGATCTTCCTAGAAATTTTTTTTTCTTCCTTAGGTTTGACCTTTTCATCAAGGAATTGGGCATGTTATTCTATGAATTAACAAATGTATCTAATATAACGGGGGAACTTCATTATTTCTTTAAATTAAAGCCTATTTTTCCCTAAAAACTTTAACTTTTTTGGTTTAATATCCTTAAATATCTTAGTCCATTAGCCGTGTGTGGCTGTATAAATTTAAGCTTGAATTAATTAAAATTAAATAAAATGAAAAGTTCAGTGGCACTTACCACATTTCACAAGCTCAGTAGCTTTAGGTGTTAAGTGGCTATACTGAACTATATCGGACAGCACAAATACAGCACATTTCCATAATCACAGGAATTTATATTGTATAGTACTGCCTCAAATTATCAAGCTTTGATTTGTATAATCAAAACATACTTTAATTTTCTTTTTGTTCAGTTCTTTTTCATCCTGCATTTTTATCACGTTCATTTTTCAGAAACAACATGTAGTAAAATCTGAAATTTCACATTTTTTTTCAATGTGTTACTTACAGTCTATTGAAGATGAAGGAGAGTTCAGTGTTCCAAGCTGTTATGGGAATATTAAAAATGATAATGGTGGCTCTAGCCTTACTTTTGAGCATCCTTTGGATGACGTAAATGTGGTTGATTTGAAATGGATCCATGACTTCGTATTAAAAGCTCTGGAAATTTTATATCAAGTAGAAAAATGGGAAACACTAATATCACTTGCCATTCAGTTCAATGAAATTTCACAGTAAGTACTACTGTAATGGCAATTGGAAGTGTCAGAATTAATTTAGTCTTTTAACTAATGTTTACTTTTTAATGTATTCTTCACTCCTATCTAGTGAACGGTATACAGAACAAGTGACACCACTTCTAGTATATGCACAGCACCAGCTTCTCCTGAGAATACAGAAGTTCAAGGGCCTAGATATCACCCAACAACCTTGTACAATGTATGAGTCTAAATGTGGGGACAAGGTAAGGCCAGCTCTGCTATTCATGTAGTTGTGATTCCTTATTAGTACATATATAAAATACAAAGAAATTAGATGATCATTATTATTTTCATTTAGACATTTATCATTCAAATGAACAAACATTATCGAGAGCCTATGTGCCAGTATCTTCTTGATACAGTGTAAACAGAAAATTAAGTCCTCATGTACAAGAAGCTAATATTCAGGTCAGGGCTGACTTATCCATTAGGTATCACTGAAACAGGGTCTAGAGCTCACAATACTTCTAGGGGCCCACTAATTATTTTAATTCTTTTAAAATAAGAAGAAAAAAGTAACTTTTAGGTCAAAAGTTTTCATTTGTGCTATTCTTATTTTTGTATATTAACACCACCGTAAAGTGTAATTTTTAATAATTTTTAAATACAGGAATGGCCCATGAAGGCAAAAGTGCCTAGGGCCCATGGAAGTCATGGTGTAGTTGAACCAGGTAGAAAAAAAGAGATAAGTAAATCCTCTCACTTACTAATTTAATAAATACGTATTGACTACATAATCAGAGCCATCACATACAGTTGTGCAGTCTGCATCCTGCCCAATGGGCCCCTGGCACATGCAGGGGCTGAAATACAAACCCTGCTCCCTACATCTGCCTGTGTGCTTGTGAGTCCTTGCCCTCAGTCAGCGAGGACTACTCTAGACCTTTCTCTTGAATTTTGTGTTGCTGTATCTAACTGCCTGTATCTGTCAGGGTTCAACCAGAGGAACAGAACTAGTAAGACAGGTCTAGCTTACCTACTGAGTGGAAAAAGCAAACTTAGTTTCTCCATTTGCTCTCTTACAACATGACTCTGACCTCAGATTTGTGGGAATTTCTTCCCGCCAGCAGGCAACAAATCAGTTTGACAGTGGACATCATCTGGGTATCCTCGGGTTCAATTCTTGACACTGCCTACCTGGAGACAGCATTACATCCCAAGGTTGATGGTTCAGTCCCACAAGACTGCCCCCCACTTCCCATGCTGATTGCAAACCCCAGGTTGTTTTATCTGTGCTATTGATGGTCCAGCTATAAATTGAAGTCCTGTGACATCCTCATTATATTTGATTCATTTGCTATGGTGGCTCACAGAACTCAAGGAAACACATTTTAGTGTTTAGTTAGTTATTATAAACTAGTTATTATGTCATTATGAAGGAAACAAAGAAATACATAGGCTGCGGTATAGGGGTTTCCATGCCCTCTCTCTCAGTGCAGTACCTGCTAGGGGCCTTTAAGCTTTTAGCTCTCTGGAAGCTCCCTTCAGGACCATGCCTATTTAACAAAGGCTCCATAAAAACCCAAAGAAGTGCAATGGTTAAATATTGGCCATTAGTGATCAACTTAACTCTCAGCCCTCTCTACCTTCTGTAGAGGTTGGGGACTGTGGCTGAAAGTCCTAATCACGCCTTGGTCATTTTGTTGACCGAACACTTCCTTGGGGTTACCAGTCGTCTTCAGTCAACTCATTAGAATAGAAAAAGACATCACTTTGGAGATTCCAAGGATTTTAGGGGTTGTATGCCAGGAAAATGAGGACAAAGACCAGCTATATTTTTCAAATATGCACTGTCTATTTGTCTGTCTGTTAAGTTGTCAAATAGTTTATTACAAGGAATTGGCTTACATGATTGAGAGGGGCTGGCTGAGCAAGTCCAAACTCCATAGGGCAGGCAGTCAGGATCATGAACAGGAAGGAACCCCACAGGCATGGGCAGAATCTGTTGTTTAGAGGCAGTCAGTGAGGGAAGATCCAGGGAGGAGGGCACAATTGAAGACCTGGCTGCTCTTTGGTGTCTGGAGTCCTGGAGACTGCTGGGATAGCAGAGACTCCTTTCCTGATTAGTCAGGCCACCAAGTATAATCTCCCTAATTTAAAGTCAGTTTATTAGGGATCTTTAATTAACATCTGCAAAATCCTTTGATGGCAGCACCTAGATTAGTGTTTGGTTAATAACTGTGATGAAGTGTTTACACCACAGAATGGATGCTTTCCTACTTTTGCTTCTCCTCATTTTCATGGCCTGGCCATGTATCACACATACGTATCAGTACAGCAAAACTAGCTCCTTATGTTAGGAGCTAGTCAACCACTTCTATGTGTTGACCAGCTTCGTACAGTCCTTTGTATCAGTACAGCAAAACTAGCTCCTTATGTTAGGAGCTATCAACCACCTCTATGTGTTGACCAGCTTCGTACAGTCCTTTGGGTGGTCAACTTACAGTGGTTCTAATGTGTCTGTTAAAGAATAAATTGTGAAAATACTATGAGGTTAGTTCGGCAAAACTTTAGGGAAGTTAAAATTGAATTAATTATGAATAAGGTGGAAAAATCTGCCATTAGAAAAGCAGCCAATATTTTAAATATATTTCAGCCTACATAATGGAAGATGGATACTGGAGGATTTATAGAATTACAGAAAATCATATTCTAATTGTTCTACATAATTTGCCTTAAGCTCTTCCAGCTGTGCTGTACAATAGAAATATGAAAAATTATGTTGCTTTTTTTTCCAGAAAGTTCTTATGATTAAATGCTATTCTGCCAGCCTTTGTTTGTAGTATTGTTTTATATCTCTTAATTTTGACAAATGAAAAAAGAGAGAAACATTTTAAGTAAGCCAAATTTTAAGCTATAAATACCTAAGTGGTGTTTGTTTTCATTTTTCTTTTTTAAGATAACCTGCCGAAATTTCATTGGGAAGCAGCTTGTCATTAATTCTTCAACCATGGAAGAAATGGAAACAATATACTACACAGAGTTACTGAAAGTGTCTGTCAGTTCAGGTCAGAACCAATTTTAACTTGAAACTTTATTTTCCTTAAAGTTTGCTGTTGTCTTCCGCATGCCAAATCTTCCTTTATTAAATGTTTATAAACTCTTTTTGCAAGTTTATTTGACTGAAAATAATACACTTGATATTTGCCACTTTATATTGCTATAAATATCACTTAAGGGGGATTAAATCACTTTTTAAAAAGTTTAATCTGTAAGTTGAAGAAGGGAAATAAAGAAAAAGGAAAAGGGCAATTGATAAGAAAAAATAGAGATGGGAAAAGGTTGATTTGCATATTTTTCTCTGTTTTTATCTTACTTGGAAATCTTGCTGTTTGATCTTTTGCTGTTTTTTTTTTTTTTTGTCTTCACTCCTATAATAATTTCCACGTCCATGTGAGCATAGATGGTTTTATTGGCTTTACCATGTTTGAGTTATAGGTTCGGGGTAGAGAAATTTTGCCTGTTGGAAGGCTGCATTAATTAGCTATAATCAAATAAAACCACACTTAAGAAACTTCACTTAGATATGCTTAAAAATGTACATTATTTGTAAAAATCTAGCCACTATGTACTAATTTCAAAGAGTGAAAACCAATTGTTAATTTTAAAGTAAACTCACCTTTTAATAACTTTATTGTGTCTGTTCTTTGTTGGAAAGCATTTGAATATTTGGTTGCAGCATGGAGGGCCACAGTTTCAGTTGGTCCTTTAAGATGGGTATTAGTCATATGTGACCTTAAAGGCATCTTGATTTGCTTAGGTAGGAGAACGTATGAATAGATTTGCATTTTTCCATTTCGGTTGGATCTTTTTTAGAATGAATGGCTTATAATGTCATCTACTGAGAGCTTACTCTTTAGGTATCTTGGAGATATCAACTAGGTTGGAGGCTGAAATGTTAATTTAAGCGTGATGTCTTGATTCTCAAAGTCATTGAACCTTCATTGTATTCTCCAATTAATAGGTCTATAACAGCTGTACATTCTTCAAATGATTCACATATATCATTCTGCTCATCAATAACCTTTGCTAACTGGGGGAAATGTTCATCTGGAATTTCCTTTTGAAGAAGTGTTTTGAAAACAGAGATTTTTTTTTATATATTTTTGGATTTTTTTGCCACATATATATAGACTTAGTTTTTCCTTACAAATATTCATTTTGATTTGATGTAATATCACACAGGAATGCTGTGTTCATATGGAAATCTTCTTTCAATAATTCACAATGCTGATTCTTCATAAAACTTAACTATTAGTTCTCACAGAGATAAAACTGGCTAACACTTGTCCCTGAGATAGCCAACCCACTGTAGAATGCTATGGCAAATCCAAGGCTGAATACTTCATCATTCAACTTGAGCATGTTATGAAAGTGACAATGCCATGTTGTATTTGCAGAAATATAGTTAACAATACTTACAACTGTGGCAAAGTGTCACTTAAAAAAGTACTTTTAGTACAGAGACTTTGCTGATGAAAAAAAATGAGAGCCCTGTTCGCATACGTTCACTCAATTTACCAAATTCAGTCCAACTTCACATTTATCTTGAAAGTTGTTGAGGTATCTATTCCCTGTATTCTGTTTGCAAGAATGTCCAAAGCGAGTAACTCTTTGTAGTAAAGAAAATCTTGTTATGACCTGAATGAAGTATAAAACCTGCACCAAGTCAGTAGAATCAGTTGATTTATCCAAAGTAATTGAATAATATATGCAGTAGAACCTCCATAGTTGCGCACCTCCCTACATTGACCACCTCCTTAAGTTGACCTAATTTTCATAGACTAGACATACACCACATGTACACATCAGTGCAGTAGGCCTAGTTCCTTATGTTGGTGACCTCCATATGTTGACCGGTTTTTCAAAGTCCTTTGACTGGTCAACTTATAGAGTTTCTACTATATTTTCCTCTGCAAGTATTGCACGAAGTTATTCTGTTAAGTTGAAGGCTAACTCATGCTGCTGATCAGTTATGGCTGTCCTTGAAAGAGGCTGTTCTTTGTACTTTGGAACTTTTATTGGGGTTTAAGCATCCCATAACTTTAACGATGCTTTTTTTTTTAATTGCTGGGGATTCATTGAGAATGCAAGAAACCAGGTTACAATGATTGCTAACCATGCATTATTTTACAATTTCTACATCACTGAATGGCTTCCCTTTACCCCAGCTATATAAGCTACTTTATAAGTTGCTTCAGTGGCATTATTTCCAGCTCTAACTGCTGCTTGAAAGAATTGTCTTTTCTTTGACTTTTCACGTTTTAATTTCTGCAATACAATCTTTCAGGTCTCATCCTCTAATCTCAAATATTTGTGGTCGTTATGATTGTTACAATGCTAATGAGCATTGAATTTAATGTTGATGTTGCAATATCACAAAGCAGGCAAATCATCTTATCTTTAGCAGAAATAAGATTTTATTGCAATTCCCAATCCTCATTAAAAAATCTGTTTTCTTCCTTTTGTATTCTCTTGGTCTTCCTTGACATGATAGGCTAATAAGTGACCAAATTAAAAACTACTTTTGAGCTCTGCAGCTATTCACGAATCCTACTTCAAACAGGGAGACAGTGCAGTGTTGTCAAAAGCTGTTAACAGACTGGTGAACTCGACCACCATAAACTCTCACCAACCAGCCTTGTGGGGCAGTGGTGCCAGTCAGGTGGAGGAAGTTAGATCTAAATCATGTGTGTAGCAGCCATCAGTTTAGCCCTTATTGCTTATTAACATTCTAATTGTGTTTGTCAATCTGTGAGAATTATTTCTTTTCTTTTTTAAAAACTTTCAGAATGTTACAAGGGTACAAATGTTTTGGTTACGTGCATTACTTTTGTCCAGTGTAAGTCAAGGTTATAGTTACCCTTAGGTTGCGTGCATTGTACGCATTAAGTATGAATTTACTCATCCCCTCCCATGCCCACCTGCTTGATTTCCACTGAATTTTACTACCACATGTACACAACAGTGATCGACATGAGTGTTGATCATTCAGTTCCAATTTTAATAGTGAACACATATGGTGTTTGTTTTTCCACTCCTGTGATACTTTACTTAGGGCAGCAGTTCTCAACCTGTGGGTTGTGACCCATAAGAGCTGTATTAAACGGCCACAGCATTAGGAAGGTTGAGAACCACTCACTCAGGGGGATCTCCAGTTCCAATCCACTAAAGCAGGCGTCCTCAAACTACGGCCCATGGGCCACATATGGCCTGCCTAGGACATTTATCTAGCCCATAGAGTGTTTTTGCTGCCGCTGCCCGTCCTGCTTAGCAGACGACTCGTCCCAGAACCGGCAATCCAGCCCTCCAACAGTCTGAGGGACAGTGAACTGACCCCCTGTTTAAAAAGTTTAAGGACCCCTGCACTAAAGTATTGATGGGTAGGTGGGTTGTTTCCAGCTCTTTGTAATTATGAATTGTGCTGCCATAAACTTTTGGGTGCATTTATAGAATGCCTTTTTTCCTTCAAGTGAATATTCAGTAGTGTAATTGCTAAATCGGATACTTTTGGTTCTTTTAGGTTTCTCTATACTAGTTTCCCTAAAGGTGGTACAAATTTTCAGTCTCATCAACGGCGTGTGACTTTTGTGTAAAAGCTGTTTTCATGAGAGTTAGTCAATAGCTCCCTGTGGTTTTGATTTACATTTCCCTGATGACTAGAGACGTTGACCATTTTTTCATATAATTATTGGTCATAGGTCTATCTTCATTTGAAAAGCTTCCATTCATGTCTTTTGCCCGTGTTTTACTTTTCATTTTTTTATTTTTGATTAATGTGAGGGTGCAGATGATTAGGCTACATTGTTTGCGTTTGTCAAGTACAGTCCAAGTTGTAGTTGGACCCCTCACCCAGAAGGCACACCACATACCCTCACATCGTGCCTGTTAGATGAGAGTCTACTAATGCCCATTCTCCTCCCCTATCCCTTCTCCTTCCTCCTCCTTCTCCTCACTTGAGTTAAAATGTGTTTCCTCTCTTCTATGGGTGTGTATTTGTTCTGCTGGTTTCATATTAGTGTTGAGTACAATGGATACTGCTTTTCCATTCTTGTTATACTTTACTAAAAAGAATGTTCTTCATCTCCATCCAGGTACATACAAAAGATATAAAATCTTCATCTTTTTATGGCTAAATAGTATTCCACAGTATCCATATGCCACAGTTAATTAATCCTTGTGCACTTGGGTTCATTCCACATCTTGGTAATTATAAATTGAGCTGAAATAAACATTCTAGTGCAGATGTCCTTATGGTAAACTGATTTTTTTCCTTCTGGATAGATACCTAGTAGTGGGATTGCAGGATCTAATGGAAGGTCTACTTTTAGCTTTTTGAGGATTTTCCATACTTCTTTCCAAAGAGGCTGTATTAGTTTGCAATTAGTTTACATCAACAGTATAAAAGTGTTCCCTTTTCTCCACATTCATGCAGCTTTGGGACTTTGTGATGTGGTTTTGCCCAGTTTTTAAGGGGGTTGTTTGATATCTTTTTGCTAATTTATATTAGTTCTTTGTAGATTCTGGCGGTTAGCTCTTTATCTGATGTGTAGAATGTAAATATTTTCTCCCAGTCTATAGGTTGTCTATTTGCTTTATTGATTGTTTCCTCAGCTGTGCAGAAGCTTTTTAATCTAATCTGGTCCCATTTATTTATTTTTGTTGCTGCTGTGATTGCCTTTGGGGTCTTCATAAATTCTTTGCCTAGGAAGATATCTATAAAACTTATTCTAACCTCTTCTGCTAGAATTCTTATAGTTTTGTGCCTTAGGTTTAAGTCCTTTATCCATCACGAAATAATTTTTGTTAATGGTGAGAGGTGCACATTCTGTTTGAGTCTTCTACATGGTTATCCAATTTTCCCAGCACATTTAGAAAATAGTAATTCTTTTCCTCATTGTATATTTTTGTTTGCTTAATCAAAGATACTTGCTGTTCCTAGGTATCTTATTTTCTTTGTTGCAGCCTCCTGGCAACAGGAGGATGATTTTATATCTGTGTCTTCTGC